CAAGAAGGTATATAATCAGTACCATGTAATGTTTTGTGAAGATAAACTATTTTGATGTATTACATCGCTGCTGTGGGATTGGTTTATCTGCAGTGGTCAGCATGTTACTGGGTCCAAATGCATTGCCGTGGGAATATTGCCTAAAGCAATATAGTTATAGGGCAGAAGAAACTCTATTTACAGAAGAAACTGAATTTAGTTGTTACTACTGTATACCGTACTGTCTAATGAAGTGATTTTAGTCAATATAGATATATACATATGTTGTTGTTGTATATGTATAATTAATATAGCTAGCTATTCTGTACACAGGGCTGCCTAGAGAATTTGCGGGGCCTGAGGCTAAACCTTAGCTAGACTGCATGTGGAGGTGCTGTAAGTGGCCCTCAATTTCAAAAATGCTCTTTATAGAACCTACTCAATTTTAGGCTGTTGCTCCAAGTTGGGGCCCTATTAAGGTGGGGGCCTATTAAGGTGGGGGCCCAGGGCAATTTGCACCCCCCCCCCCCGTCTTGGCGGCCCTGACTGTACATGTGATTATTTTGATTATAGCTAAATAGAATATGCAACCTTATCGTAGAATGTGTTATATTTTGAGTGTATACCATATTGCTAACCCATTGAGCTGAATTGTGCCCTACTTTGTTGTTTTACGATATCAATATTTAAAACATGGCTTGTTTTGGCAAGACATGACATCCTTTTGGTTTTTCACATATTGAATTTGACAGAATGTCATTTCTGCGATATATCGAAACAATGCCATTTCTTTGATGTATCGAAACCATGGATAGTTTAGAGTTTTCGACATATTGAAAAAATGGCAATCTTTTGATATATCGAAGAGATGGCATTCTTTCAATATATAGAAGCCATGGATAGTTTAGTTTTCGATATATCGAGGAAATTGCAATCTTTCGAAATATTGAGGAAATTGCAATCTTTCGATATATCGAAGAAATGGCATTCTTTCGATATATCGAAGCATTGGATAGTTTAGGGTTTTCGATATATCGAAGGTGGTATATTCTTGATATATAATTTTCACTGACTGTGTCTGCCTCCAGACATGTTTTGGAACTATAACATTTTCCTCTTTTTTTCCCTTTTATTCACATGCCTTTTACTCACTTTGCTTTTTAGCTGCTTTTTCCGCTTAGAGATTTAGTATCATTTTAGTCATATCTTGCAACTTGGAAAAGCTAAAATTGTTGCAAAATGTGTATGTTTTTGCTGAATATATTTTCAGTCATTTTTAACATGCATTTGATGTGATTTTCCTATTAAAACATAAAATCTGTCATTGTCCACTTTTGCAATTATTCTTATGTTTTTAACCAATTTTTGTCGTGTTTGAAAAGGAATTCTTGTTTTCATGCAGAATTATTGCATTTATGTATAATTTCTCCACAGTCATGGCTGTATTCAATGCATTTTTTAGTGTTTTCTTTCATTTTCCTCTCAAATTCTGTTAAATAGAATATTGGACCTTATAGTAGAACGTGTTACCGTTCTGAACGTCTGCCAAGACATTTTTTGAAAGCTAAAACGCTAAGCTTTCATATGCGATCAGTTTCGTTCCTTCCTCTGAGATGCATGAGTATTACAACTCCTTCAGGTGATAGAATACACGCCCAACACGGTGGAGTAGCCTTTATGTAAAAGATAATATTAAAGTACCTATGACATAGTCATGGAATTAGTCTATTTAGATAGTTTAGATGATTTTAAGAACTTTTGCAATATATTTTATAATTCGAAAATTTGATCTTCATGGACTTTCAGGGGCTCAAAGTTGGCGATTTTGCCTACTTTGAGCGTTTGACCGCCAGCATAAAAGTACTGTGGCGAGAATGCCGGCATGACGTCAAACCGGGAAGTCTTCAAAACAAAATACACATGATTTACTATAGTTTCTTGATAAAATCGAGTATAAATTAGATGTTCCTGGAAATTTCTTCGATATTTCGATTGAAAGTTAAATGGAACTATATCCTTAACCATCGGTTATCCAACTGACAGGCATGTAGATTGGGCGAGATACTAATCTTATGGCTCAGTGCATAGGCGTCGAAATATTGATAAGTGGGGGGTGGGGGCGTATTCATATATTCGTGTTCTGCATTATTAATTTCTTTTGAAATCGATTGTTTTTAAGGTCTGTGAACACTAATATATGAATATGCCCCCCCCCCCACTTATCGATCTTTCGACGCCTATGGCTCAGTGTGCAGGTCAAACACGTATACGCTGATGCTAATCTATCTTCATAGATAGAAATATCGGAACAAAACTGCAAAGAACGGCAGGCTGTAGTTAAACCTAATCCAGTAGAACCTATTCGCTTTGCCCTCGTCTTTGCCAATGCAGACCAGATTGGCGGAAATTATGGTGAACAAAACAGCTCGTATCAATACAAAACATTACCAGAAATATGGGAAATTTTGCGGCCGCGTTATGTCAGCGGAAAATCGCTTCATAATGGTTCAGAATACAAAAAGGAGACCAGATCTTCCGGCAAAGGCGCTGTACCATACAGTGTTTTAAATAATTTAAGTTCAGTCGACATACTGTATGACGAAAATAAAAAAAGAAGACGTCGGAGAGCTGGGATGTTCGATGCCGAAAGATTGATAGCTCGAAGGAAGGATAAAAAGGTAAATAATTGTTTGTTTGTATTAAAAATTTAAATAGTAAATAATCTCGCACTATATCATTCTATTATTTTTGTATTTATGATTTAAAAAACTATACAAGCATCTACCACGTTATCACAATACCAGTAATATTAATAGTTTTGTTTATATGAATTACGCTTGCCCCTACGTAGTTTTTATTATATACTATTTATGTTTAAGTTTCAACTTTGAACCTTACATTTTTTTCTAGGGGACTGTAAACTACTTGGTAAAATAGAAGGGGTATAGCTCCTTTGAGAATACTTGGGAGCCAGAGGAGTACATTTCTCAAGCTTTCTTAAGGTAAGCTTCCAATAAATCCTACTACAAAGCAGGTGGCTTCTGTGAATGTTTAGTAATGACTATATATTTGGGTTAATTAAGAAGTTATTAAGATTCTCACGTGCAATTTTTAGTTAGTGCAAGAACAAATATCTCTTTATATGTACCAAATATGGCGACTTTCACACCCTACCATAGCTAGAGATATTGATTAAACCATTCAACTAGTTACTGTTAATTAAAACATATATTAGGATACATGTTTATTCTTATCTCAATCCTAGGTATTTTAGCAAGCCTTGTCCACCATCAGAGGTCATTGAGTAGTGCGTGGACAAGATGAGAATCGAGGTGATGCTCGCACTCAAGCACAAAGCGCCTGAACAAAAGTTAACGTTGGAGTTCAGACATGACGTGTATGGCTTTTCGTTTAATGGATAAGGGAAGACAGCAGAGCAACGTGGCTGGATGCTGTTTGAGGAGAGCGACTTTGAAAAATGTAAATTGCCTCCCACCTGGTTTTGTATTCATGATCAACATGGAGATGAGACAAAAGTCAGATTCCCGGTCAAGATGAGAACATTTCTAGGCAACTCACCTAGAAATTTTACTAACAAAGGGGGTGAAATTGTGGAACTGCCTCGCTCCTTTATAGAAAAGATGTCGATAAAATGTATTAAAATTGCATCTTCTTGTTCATAGTATACCTGTACATTTGCTTAATACATTCTTTGTAAGTGGCCATGGTGATCATATAAATATTTCTTTGGTTTTTGGGAACATGACATATAGTTTATTATCGCAGAGCTTTCAATTATATTTATAACACTAATCATAACATTTTCATTCATCAGATGTTATTAGCACTGATGAAGATCCAGGCTTACAGATTTCAATCTCTGCAATAATAAATATAGTGATGTTTCCACATACCAAAGAAATATTTATACATGTGCTTATTTAAGAAAGCAATGCTTTCAATTTAAAGCTATCTCACTTGTCCAGTCAGTCCATGTTTGGATTGTTTGGATAAGTGGGATAGCTTTTATCAAGCACCTTTTTGGAACAAAAGCATACTAAATTTACACCATCTTTGCACAGGTATATTGAGATGTTGACTTAAATTGTATTCCTATAATGTAAAGGTTATGTATATACAAAACTAAACTAGCTTATTTACAGTATCCATATCAGTCATATACCTCAAATTGTTCTTTATGTACAGAAATTGTTTTCTGTTGTTTATAGATGATATATAAAGAAAATTTTGTTCAAAATTTCTTGTTCACTTCTATTTTATTTTCATGGGATTGCTTCTGTATTGACTATAAAAGCACATCTCTTTCTCCAACACACGCTACTAACTTCCAGAGGAAGGGCCTTAGCTCAAAAGGTCGAAGTTCTTCTTATATATTTCAGGTAGTTGTGAAACTACAAAAATCTTTTTTGTTAATTGCTACCTACACTTGGACGACAACACTAACATTTTAGAGAGTGGCGTAGCCAGCTCGATAATTGGGGGTGGCGAATATTCATATATTCGTGTTCACAGACCATAAAAACAATCGATTTCAAAAGAAATTAATAATACAGAACACGAATATATGAATATTCGCCCCCCCCCCCCTCAATTATTGAGCTGGCTATGCCACTGATTTTAGGTCAATAAACTATATGGTCTACATTGCATGGGCTACGCTGGGGTTATTGTGTATACTACAATAATGTGAATATTGTACAGAAATCTCTCCTTGGTGAGTAAGATCTTCCAACATTTAAGGGACCGGTCATTAATTAGAGGGGAGACTGTGTATCTTTTTTTATGGCAGGAGGGGTTCAAATAAAATTCATACTATCCACAAGGGGGAGAGGGGGGCTCCCCTATGATTAATGACCGGTCCCTAACAGAGTAAAATGATCTAGTGGGGTTTGTTGGGAAGCATTGCAGCATAATGGGTTAACTCGAACTGTGTGCAGGAAAGGATACATTCTCATTCCCAAAGCCTTTCTTATGCATGGTCACGATAAGGGGGTTCTGGCCAAATCTATAACTGGTAGCAGAGAAATCTGCCAGTCATAAACCTCAATAATATGCATGTGCCCAATCACACACCTCAATGGAATGGATTTGGCCAGATACATCTTGTCGTGACTGTGCTAAAGATAGGCTCTGGGAATAAGAATGAAAATAGTATTGCAGGTCCGCAGGTTAATGGGTAAACTTTCACGAAATCTTAAGTAGAGATATCGGTTCAATTTTCTTTAATTTTGAGAGCCCTCTCTGATCAAGCCCGTTGGCCTTGATCTCTTCTCTCAACTGTGCTAGTGAACCAGTTGCCACATCAGCTGCTTCATTTTCTTCCTGAAGGATGGGAGCTTCTGTAATTTGTCTAATCTTCTTCTTATTTTGGCTGATTTCTACATCCCAGTACTGCCTATTTCTTTTTGTATAGTTGCCTTTATTCCTTTCATGCTCCTTAATGTCCCACTGTCTATTCTCAATAGAAAGTATATCTTTCGTAGCGTCCCACATGTTTGATTTTTGATATAATATTCTCTTAGCATCATCATTGTTTTTTTCCACAACTTGCCCAGTGAACCTTTTGAAGCAACCATATTCTGAATAAAAAATGGAACATGATAACACATGATGTGCATGTATGGAGTAATCTTTGCTCTTGTATACCCAGTTCGCAACTGTCTTATCGAGCAGAATAACTCAAGCCACTGTTTTGCTTTTCCAAATGCAGTATTGGATAAACGACTTGTCAAATTTATATCGGATATTAAATCATAGTATTCCTTGAAATCGTTCCATATTTGCATTACAGTTGCAGCAGTATTAGAATGTAGGTAGTTTTCCAACATTGAACGTAGTTTCATCAACATTAGTTTCTTTTGTGCCCCAACAAGGATTGTATACTCTAAAAAATTGCTGCGAAAACCATCTGCATTCTTCTTGTACCATACAGAAAATGTGACACCGGGTGAATTAACATCATCCACAAATTTCTTTAATAGAACACCTTTAGGCTGCCCCTTCGGTTTATTAAAGTCCTCGATGGCATCCTTTTCCAAAATTTCATCAACAACTTTTTGGAGCATTCTATCTGTTACTCTTAGTAGAAGGTGCAACTCATCCGCCAATACATGATCCAAGTCTATATTGATCAGGGCAGGATTAATACATCCATAGTTGGAACTCTTGCATTGGCATTGTTTTTTTATATTTTCAAGTGTCCTTTTAAGGGGTCCTGTGTTGTAAAAAAGCAAATCCTTGCTAGTATCCCATCTGAACTGCCTGTGGATCTCACACCATAGACATGCATAGTCTGCAGTTGCGGAATTCAACCCCATGATCATTAGCAAGAACTTGTAGTCCCCACCCAAGAAAAATTCCAACTTTACTTCGTTACAGTCAACAAGCAGGCTTCCTGTCTCAATCAGAGAATTGACTTCATCAAAAAAATCTGGAAGTGCAGTTTTAAGAGTTTGATAATCCTCCTTTCCATTTATAATAGCAACAGTTCTATTGCTCTTAGAGGACATAACATTACCTTGTTGTAGGAGGGCAAATGAAGACAGCATAAAGTTGGTCGACCGGGTCATGCGAGCACCATCACCACTCAACTTTACTTGCACAACACTGTCACTCAGATCTGGTTGCTGAGCCAATAGCTCTTTCACATGATCTCTCAGAGTGGAGGTAAAATCAAGCCTTGCACCAGGGTAGCCTCGAGTCCTTTCAATGTGATATGTTTTGTTCATATCCGCTCTCAATTGTTTCACCAAATATGATTTTGGTAGATCATCCGATAAAATGGAAACCTCATGATAAAGAGAATCCCCAACACAAAATTTGTCCAAAATAAACAGATTTTGTTCAATCCTTTCATTTTCACTCATATTGGAATCACCATGGTCTGCAGTGTAATCAAAGGTGGAATTATATCCCTCTTCATCTTTTAGTTTAATTTGGCTTATCTCAAGGCCAAAGCTTTTACAGAACCATAAAGCGCGTCGTGCTTTATCGTTAAGAACCCAATGTCTCCTACACTTCTGCTTAGTACCGACTTCATGTATCTTTCTCCCATTGACAATTTAATGAGTCTCTCTTTTCAAGTGTTTCAACGTAATCTGCCAACTCTTGGTTTATTAACTTCAGGTCAGATATTTCTTGTTCCATTTGATCTTTCTCCTTAATCATCTCTTCTAAAGCTTATTTTTGTCCAGTTCAAATTCACTAAATTTCCTTTTATACTCTTCATGCTCATCGTTACTTTTACTTGCTTCAGATTTGTAATGGTCAGTTGACTCTGTCTCTCCTCGTTTCACACTCTGTTTATATACTTTGTCATCTAGCAATGCTCGCTTTCTTCCCTTTGTTTTTCCAAAGGCAACTTTTATAGCTGCCGACTGCTTCCGAAGCACTTCCTAAATACGTTCGCTCTTTACCACAAACCATGCATCCGTCACGGTTGAATTCAGAATATCAACAAAATTTACATTTTGCCCGGAAGTATTTTGTCGAATGTTGTTCCACAAATGCAGTGAAGGCCATGGAATCTCCACACAGAAGAAAATCCCGTTGGATATCTCCACTTGCCGTTTTACATAACTAAGAGGGGCTTCTGCACTAAATCTTAATTCCAATCTAACTTTCTTTTCTTGTAATCTTCGAGTACCTCTGACATTTTGATTTACCGCGATTTGAAAATACCGCGAAATATATTCACGCAATTTACGAATCGAACACGAAACGAAGTCACGAAATCACTCAAAATATCTCCTTTTTTAAGTAAAAGACTGGGGACTAACCCTGCATGTAAACAAAGAACATGGCTGCTCGAAACAATAAAAAATTCTATACCATGGCTTGCCTTGCTCCAAAACAGATTTAATGACGCTATACTGACGATATTATCAACTACAAAAAGCCGTAGTTTCAAACGATTTTGGAACCAGTTTGCCTTGGAATAACCTCCGTTTTTTTTAGCAATAATAACATTTTAAACATCGCCAAGTTCATTGCGAGCTCCGCAGTTTGCATCGCCCGACAGGATGTTGGCCTATTCAACGAAGTTTTGCACCATGTTCAACCTAATTACTATAGATTACACTATTGAATGCATCGAATTGGCAGAAAAAATACATCGATCTCGGGAACCACCTAGACGTGGAGAAATGTTAGCAATTTTTGTGTACAAATATTGCTTATATATCTCGCTGCTATTATCGAGCTCCGCAACGATGAAATATTTACACAAAGTAGGTGAAAATTTGATATTTTTATAAACTCCTATATAGTTTACAGTAAGATTTGGTCGCCATATTGGAGCAATATGCGCATGTCTGCAGCCATCTTGTCCCGTATTTCTGGTAATGATCAGAGGCGTTGGTTTGCTTGAATTTCGACGTCATGATGTGTGGTATAAAGTTGGTGAAAAGGTGGGTAAATACGACTTTTATGTGATTTAAAAGAGAAACTCCAAAGGCAAAGTGAAATTGTTCTATTGTGACTGATAGGTATGCTGTGGTATTCACATGATCACTACACCCTGTGAACGATGGTATTGTGTGGACACGTGTAATATATAGGAAGAGTATTATGTATGTAAACTAAATTCATTTGAAACGAACTACAAGACTCTGTCTTTATATCACTGGCGACGAGGATCGAGAAACACAAACGAAACAAAGAGGACTGGAAAAGTAATTCGGTATAGGTCAACACATAGTACGAAGAATTACAGCCGGACCCAGCGTGTATTCAACGATATTAATTAATAAAACGGAAATTATTGACACTATACGATAAACGGAAATTATTGACACTTCAAACTTTACTCAGATATTTACCTCGTTTATTGTGGCCACGAAAGGACCAAAGCTTAAAATCCTCCCATTTGATCCACACGGAGACAGGTTAAACTTGGGCAAAGGTTGGGAGAGATGGCTGGAAAGATTTGAGCGAGATCTCAAGTACAATGTCTGTGAACACAACGAAGCAGAAAACAGCGAAACAGTACAAATGGCATTGCTGATTTACGCAGGAATACAAGTGGAGGATATCCATGATTCCCTGCCTTTCCCTACCAGGCCGTCGAGCGTTTCCAACGAACAGTGGACGGAGTATCGAAAATCGAAGGAAAAATTAAACAAATATTTCCTCCCTCAAAAGTCAAATGACTTTGCTTTATTCGAGCTCATGCGAGTGAAACCGGAAGAGGGCGAAAGGACTGGGAACTATGCAGCAAGACTACGGAAAGCAGTCGAGAAATGTGACTTTGCAAACTGGACGGCAGACAAAATGATAAAATGTCTTATCATAAGCAACCTACATGACGACCAGCTACGACTGATATGTTTGCAAAAAAAGCTGAGACTTGATCAGCTACTGGAGAAAGCACGAATGAGAGAAGATGTCATGGCCATGAATGAGGTCATGCACAAAAAAGACGGGGAGAAATAGAAGTTAATAAATTGAAGCCACGATGTCCATTTAAAGGTCCACACACACGGAAGGAAGAGACACAAGAAAAAGGCAAGTACGAAAGCAAAGGCAGAGACGAAGAGCAATGCTTGCGCTGTGGTAGTCGCGACACAAAACGAGAGGAGAATGCCCAGCCCTAGGGAAAAAGTGTGACTTTTGCAAGAAAACAGGACATTTCACTAATGTTTTTTTAAAAAGTTGGTAAACAATACTTAAGAAAAGCTTACCCAAACTGATACCGACGAGACTGATTATGACAAGCAGGTAGCAAAAGTTGCGGGGAGTAATCCAGGATTCCCGGAACCAATGCACTTGACAAGCAACACAAACGTCGAGTATGGGCAAGCCACAACAGATGACCGGATTATTAATGTGGGAATGCGGCCGGCTCTGGTCAAAGCTAAAATGAATGATCGCGAGTTGACATGGCAACCGGAAACAGGTGCCACAGAAGACATCATGGACAAACGAAACCTACGAGAAAATGAGAAAGAGGTGGGAAGAAAAGTGAACCTCGCCCCATCTCCTGTTTAGTTGTTCGCGTATGGCAGCAATCGACGCCTTGACTTGGTTGGCCAATTCCAAGCAGTATTACGAGCCGGTGAAAAGAGCCTGTAAACTACCATCATCGTTACAAAGGAAGCATCATCTTACCCACTCTTGTCGGTAATTTCATTATGAAAGCTCGGGCTTGTCCAGTACAACGAGAAATTTCTTGTCCAACAAATCGACGAAAAAAGAGACCTTGCAGAAGTATCGCAGAAAGTACGCCCCAACGTAAGAGAAATCTTGGAGAAACTCAGCGAAGTATCCAGTCCAAATATTGGGAAAGCTGTAGGCAGACAAATGACCATAATGGCAGATGAGACGGTGGCACCAGTTGTCCAAAATCCAAGACGTGTACCATATAATCTTGCAGCCAAAGCAGAAGAAAAGATCCCATACTTGTTAAATCAGGACATCATAGAGAAAGTACCAGACGACGAAACACGTACCTGGGTCAGCCCAACGGTTATCGCGCCGAAACCAAGTTCTGATCAGATTCGCCTATGTGTAGATATGAGGATGGCAAACAATGTTATTCTCCGCCCATACACTCAACTACCAACGATGGAAGACGTGATCAACAAGTTTCAGGGTGCGAAGAAGTTCTCTAAATTAGACTGTTACCACAGAATCACGCAAAATCACGACCTTCTACGGACCAGATGGATTGTATCGTTCTAAGAGACTGAATTATGGTACAAAATCGGCGCAAGACATCCTACAAAACGAAATGCGAAATATTCTCGCGGGTATACCTTACCAAATCAACATCGCAGATGACATCTTGATAGCGGGGTCTACGAAGTAACACCACCAAGCGCTGGAGCTTGTCCTCGCAAGATTACAAGACAACGGCATGACGGTCAACGCCAAGAAATGCCAGTTCGACGTTGAAGACACACCATTCATTGGACTTATTTCTAACAAAAAAGGCATTCAACCCGATCCGACCAAAGTAGAAGCCCTCCACCTCGCAGGACCATCAAAGAGTAAGGAAGAGCTCCGATCACTTTTGGGCATGGCAGGGTTTAGAGAGCGATTTATCCCCAACTATGCCAAAGTTACGGCGCCCCTTCGAGAATTGTTGCAAGAAGGTACATGGGACTGGGAGGAGAAACACCAACGTGCCTTTGAAGAGCTGTAGCAAGCCTTACAAGAAGACACAGTATTACAACCATACGAGGTTGGTCGAGAAACACGACTAGTCGTGGATGCAAGCCTTGGTGGTCTTGGAGCTGTTCTTTTGCAGAAAAGATCGACAGCTGAAGGTTTCCGCCCTGTGGTATTCAAATTACGAAGCCTTGTCCCTATTTAACTACCGAGAGAGAAAGGCGCTAGCGATCCGATGGGGGATCAAGAAGCTGAGAAAAAACCTTTTGGGAGCACAACAATTCAAAGTGATTACAGATCACAAACCACTGCAAGCGATGTTCAACAAAACCGCAGGTGATTTACCACCACGCATCGAGAAGTTCATTATGGACGTCCAGGAATACGAGTACGTTGTAGAATATCATCCCGGGAAGACCAACATAGCTGATTACTTATCAAGGCACCCACGTACATATGCTATTTCAAGCAGCGTCCAGGCAGCCGACGAATTTGCTCGGACCGTGGTTCGAGCGGAAACAGTTATGCTAATCAACAACGACACAGCAGTTATCATGCAGGAGATAAGAGAGGAAACACGTAAGAATACAACTCTCACGAAACTCATACACACCATACAAACTGGTCTGAATGAAACATATGAAGAACTTTTGCCTTATATGGCAGAAGAGGTTAAACACGACCTGCAGATTATATAGACGGAGTAATTTATCGCGGGAAACGATTGGTCCTACCTGAAACCCTACAGCTCCGAGTTATCGCATTCGGGCACGAGGGCCATAAGGGAATTAGCAAAACAAAATCTTTCATCCGGCAATCCTGTTGGTTTCCGGGCCAGCTGGATGCCAAATCAAAGAATGCCAAATCAAAGAATGCCAAATCAAAGAATGCCAAATCAAAGAATGCCTTCCTTGCCGAGCAACGCAACCAAGTCGATAGCACGAGCCTATTAAAGCATCGGAATCACCAAAGGGACCTTGGCAATTCGTCGAAATGGATTTTTCAAGGGCCATATCCCAATGGAGAATACATGTTCGTGATGATCGACAGATACAGTCACTGGCCTGAAATAGCATTCTTCAGGCAACCGCCAACAGCAAAATCGACCATCGACGTGATGCATTGCATATTCGCCAATAAAGGCATACCGGCGGTTTGTCAGTCAGATAATGGTCAGCCTTTTCAATCAGCAGAAATCAAATCATTTGCGTCGAAACAAGGATTCGTTCTAAAACATATAACACCGGAGTGGCCACGAGCAAACGGAACTGTACAACGATTCAACAGATGCATGAAAGAAGCCATACAGGCCGGTCACGTCGAAGGGAAACCAATGCGAGACGCAGCCACGACCTTCCTTCAGTCCTACCGAGCGAGCCCACAAACGACAACAAAGAAAAGCCCATTTGCAGCTATGCACGGGGGACGCGAGATGCGAACAAAATTACCAACGGAGACACATTGTGATGACATCGTTGACCAAGAATAAATGGTAAACCTAAGGCGAAAATGGTTTCCAGATACACGTGTGCCAAGGAACATCGTTTAAAAGTCGGAGATCGGGTTGTTGTAATGCAGCAAAGGAAGAATAAGTTAACAACTGTGTTTAACCCAACGCCGCTAACAGTTACAAACATAAAAGGATCAATGATTACTGCAAGCAAAAACGAATGGTCAGTAACAAGGGATGCTTCAAAGTTTCGCAAGTTATATGGGAGTCTACCCCAAGGTAGTAAAAGGGACGGTGAGGAGATACACGAGGCGGAAAATGATACAAACGAACACAATTCGCCAGGATGAACACGAGGAAGGCGAAGACTATAATGAAGTTGATATCGAGCAAGATATCGAAGGAGCAAACGAACTAGCTTGAAATTCCCTGATCCATGTCGTTTCTGCTTCGTCAAGTTCGACTGAATTAAGCTGTCCGTAATTAGACAATTCGTTCTTATTTGTATTAGCTACCTTACGCTTTTTGATTCTTTTGATAAATTTCAACACCAACGCGGTGACTCGTAATAATCTCGTTAGATCACGATAATGACCAACATTAATAATGTGATTAACTTTCTTCAATTGATTCTTGACAGAAACACTTACCAAGATATGCGTAATCTTTGGCGAATTTTTTACAGTCTCTTTAAGAAACAATTCGTTAGAATTCGGGTTAATAACTTCAGGCCACTCATTTTCGGAATGAAGGAGAAATTCTGGACCATTCCACCAGGATGAATTATTTGCGAGGCCTTTCGCGGCAATTCCTCTCGAAGGCAAATCGGCTGGATTCAAATTTCCCGGGCAATGACGCCAGAAATGCTTACTCGTTAATTCGCATATCTCGTTAACACGATGTTGAACATACTGTTTCCAATTTCCCACGTTTTTTATCCAACATAATACGGTCACAGAGTCCGTCCAAAACGTAACATTGGTACAATCGATCCCCGCGCGTTTGAGACTGTCCACAAGTCGAGCTAGGATTAATGCCCCTAACAACTCTAAGCGGGGAATCGTCTGGGTCTTCAAGGGTGCGACTCTTGACTTTGAAGCAACTAATCTTACGTCAATCAGTCGGTTTTCGTAACAAGTTCGCACGTATACAACAGCAGCGTAAGCCAACTTAGACGCGTCGGAAAATGCATGACATTGTATTTCTTTCGGTACTGACGAGAAGTAACACAGTGGTATTTTAATATCACAAAGCTGCTTAAGCTGACACAAATAAGACTTCCATGCTTTAAGTAAATTTGATTGTAACTCACCATCCCATTCATGTTTTTGAACACAAAGCTCTTGAAACAAAATTTTCATTCCAATTGTAAAAGGAGTCAAAATACCAATCGGGTAGACTATCTTAGCTGTGACCTTGAGCACATATCTCTTGCTGAGCGGTAGATCAATCGCATAATCATACAATTCGTCATATTCAAAGTAAAATTCATCGGATTTAGTGTTCCACTTCAGTCCGAGAACCTTTAGCGCAGAATCTTTCGTGTTACAACTTACTGTTCCCGTTGTAGATTTGGCGTAAGATTCGTCGTCTTCTTGTATCGAACCAACCGGCACAATTTGAGCTTGTTGATGAACATTTTCGGCTTGCATAATCCTCTCACGCAACTCACGCGAATTTGTATGCCATTTTCTAAGGTTAAAATGACCTTCAGACATAATTATCTTCGACTTTTCGTAGATCTCATACGCTTTCTCTTCGTTTAATTCACCGGAAACGAGATCATCTACAAACAACGACTTGACGATTAATTCGACTAATTCAGGCTCACTACGTTTGTACAGTTCCAAATGATGTTTGATAGTGGCTCCCAAAATAGAGGGGGATGGTCGTGATCCAAACACCAGGCGATTAAAACGATACTGCACAATTTCAGGTGTAGCTTCATTTGGATTTGAGAACCATAGAATTCGAAGCATATCTCGATGTTTTTTCTTAATTTCAACCATTAAAGAACCCTTTTCGATGTCGGCAGTTATGGCAACAGCTTTCGAATGAAACTTGATCAGCATATCAAATACAAGTGGAATATTGTTCGGGCCATTATGTAAGCAATCGTTAATTAAGCGATCGATCGTCTTTAGTTGACTTAGCAGAACCATCGTAAACTACTCTTACCTTCGTCGTTTCTCGACTCGTTGTAACGACGGCATGAAGTGGCGAAAAATGAACTCCTTTAACGTCGGTTTCTTTCGAAACTTGGTTTGGTACCCTTTCGATTATTCCAGCTTTGCATAGTTCTTGAATTATTCCGCCATATTCCTTCATCAAGGCGGGTCTCTTTTTCAGGTTGTAATACAGATATCGTAGGCGCGATACACACAGACCGTAGTTGTTGGATGTGGGCATACAATCATCCTTCCACGGTAAACTCGCTTCGTAATATCGACCATTATATGAAATCTTGGGCTTCGTAAACTCGGGTGTAATGCTTGGATTTATATCAGTTGTTGATTCCTTAATGCTTATAGCCTCAGTTTCCCAAAATTGGTTTAGTGTGCAATTTAGCATTTCGTCATTTTCGGGTACAATGTCGTGTGGAACAGCGTTAAAACCACTGACGACCAGATTCGACACGACCTTGGAACTCGTTGTTTTCCTTACAGGACCAAAGAGTAACCAACCAAATTTTCTATTTATAGCTGTAGGACCAGCGTGTCCACGAACCGTTTCACCTTCAATAAATTCCCAATAATAATCAGACCCAATAAGAACGTCGATGGGCTGATTTTCAATAGAACTATCTGCTAATTGCAAACCGTGTAAATGTGAGTTTTCTTTAACATTAGCTTTCCCAGGAAGCGGTGAACAAATTACAGGATAACTAAGAGCTGATATTTCAAGTAATTCTCTTGCATTGGTCTTCAGTCTCACGGCAGCAACGTTAAATCTTTGTTTTCTGTAGCCCTTTTCCCCAAATGTATTCAACTGGTGCGTTTTGGTCTTTGTTGTCTTAAGTCCAAACCTTGTTTTCAGATTATCAATAATATACGAACGTTGGCTTCCAGTATCAAATAATATACGCACAGTTGTTGACTTCGATCCGTCTTCGTTTAGTGCAGTCGCTGTCGCAGTTTGTAGCAAAACGTTCTCCTTTGCTTTTGCACAGGTCGTCCGTGTCGATGGTTTTTCTTCGTTATCTTCGTTATATCGCAAAAAACTCTTGACCCAGATCTCTGAGCGTAGATAATTTGCTTAGTAATTGTTGATCCAACATTTCCAACCGACTTACATTTTCTTCACTAATAGGTGTGGTACCCAGAATCTCGTCACATGCCTTGATAGCCTTGGTTACTACACCACGATGACCGGCTCTAATCGCCTTCAAACGCTCTAACTTAGGTTTCGCTGGTTCATCCATTTTTTTTTTTAACTTTGCAATTTTTGTATCGTAAATCGTAATAACGCGAATTCGTGCCCCACGTTGGGCGCCATGTTATGAATCGTGATAATAGTTATGATTTTCTCTTTATTTTACCCAACACCATAATTGTTCAACTGACTAAAAAACTAGATTACATAAATATTTAAAGGCACAAATCACGTGATCAATCAATGTTCCCCGAACTATATGTACAAACAAAACAGTTAATTATTAAATACTTGAGTTCATGCAGTTATAAATGTCAATCTACTTGTTTAATCAATCCAGATGTCTCTAAAATAGAAATTCCTGCAATTCTTACCACAGTATCTGACAAAATATATCCTGGTGTAAGTTCCTGACTACTCTGCATTTTCGTTTGTTTCTAGTGGCAATAGTGTGATTTTCTGATATAGAGTTAAATAGACAAATTCCGTACAAACTAACCTCTGTACAAATACTGAAAATTCAGAATAGTCACTAACTAACTAAAATCAAACGACCTACAATATTCTTTGATTTTGGGATTTACAGCATCGCGTAATATAATTTACTGTTTACTGCAGAAGCCATATTTCAACGTGATATGCAAATTACGAAGGAAGTAGAATAAATCATGTCCGTGATTTCTGGCCATGAAGGAAAATTTCAATGTTTCGGGCGAGAGCCTTTCGTCGGGAAGTTAGTATTGGGGATCGGGAAAATTTCATTAAATTTTATACTGAAAATATGTAAGCAATCACGAGATAAAAATATCAACAAATTAGATAAATTCACCAAAAAAGCATACACAAAAAATGTAAATCATGTCACAGGACATAATTGATAAATTTAGAAAACACGACACGACGTCTAAAGCTACGTTTACACGCTACGATTTGTCGTGTACGATTCGTATTCTGGCGTATTAAAATGAGTGCTGGCTCCAAAAAGAAATTTCAAATGTAGTCAGCTTACACTGTAAAAACTGATAGGTTAAAATAACCAAAAAAAATAGGTTATTTCAGTTGGTCTAGGACAACCGGTTTAAAATAGGTTATTTAAATAGGTAGAAATAACTAAAACTAAATAGGTTAAAACAAACCATTTCTAGTGGGTTATTTTAACCTGTAATACAGTTAATTGTACCTATTTAAAATATGTTATTATAACATTTATTTTTAGGTTAAAACAACCTAAATTTAAACAGTTAAATCTACTCAGAAATATAGGTTGTTTTTGCCAAATAAATATAGGTTGTTTTTACCTATAAATATTTGGTCATTTTAACCAATAATATTTGGTCAATTTAACCTATAAGTTTTGGTTAATACAAATATAACCTATTCTTTATGGTTGAAATAACCCATAAATAATGGTAAAGGCCATGAGTCTAAACCAGCCCTTTAAAATAGGTTACATGCGGTTGATCTAACCTAAAAAAAATAGGTTAAAATCAAATAGGTTAAAATCAAATAGGTTAAAATCAATATTTGACTCAAAGTCAAATTAGTAAATATTAAAACAATTTCAGTACTTTGATAAAAATCATGTATTTTTCTTAAGGAATGCATATAAGTCTTATATATAATATATAATTAAAATAATCTACGAGATAATTGAATTCCAGTGTGCGACAATTGCAAAACAGTAAAGTGAAAGTGGAGCAGAGTTTGATGGCATGCGATCATCATATTATATTGTGAAAGTAAAAAGCTCTTCATATATAGAAGAAACAATAGTTATCTCACACAATTGTAAGCTTGTAAGCTATATAAATAATTGTAAGCTTGTAAGCTATATATAGTTTAGAGTTATACTATATAGAAACATTTACAGAAATAGCCCATGATTGTGAGGGTCATAACTCTCCTCGGGACAATATATCCTGCATGTACAATACATGCATTAAATTAGTGATACAATATTATCATAAATTTCATTAGCATAAATTGTTCCATTTAATGTGTTCATAAAATCCTTTAGCTTAGGAAGTTCTCCACGTCAATTGGTAAAGTACCGGTATGGCAATTATTGGCCAAAAGAACATGTTCTAAATTACTAAAACATGTAAATGTTCTTACTATGACCTGTTGGCCCCTTTTGGGTGCTGCATGTTAAAACGTAGTGCCCTGCAAGCAAACGTGCCACTGCGTTGGTAATATTGCACGGATCGTATCTGAATTTTTTACAACCATTCCCTCTGCAATCAATGAAATCGAATTTATCTCTTCCAGAGGTCCAGTGGCCAATAGATGAGGGGTTGAGCATCCTGATATTTTGGGAGCAATTTCAGAATCATCCTGCATAATATAACTGAGTGAAATAAGCATTTCATGCACAACTTACACTTTTGTCTAAATATTGTACTTCTTCTCCTGTAGTTACACTAGAAAAATATACATCACTTCATAATTTCTATCTAGATTATTTTTTGTGTGTGTTGGCCTTATGTACTCAGTGAATATGATGTTTGTGATGTTACTCTGAGTGTGAATCCACACCGGGCAAGCTGAAAAGTTAGCTTGGCTACGGTGGGAATCGAACCCGAGACCTTTGGGATACTAGTCCAATGCTCTGCCAACTGAGCTATGTGCCAAGTCGGTTCGAGTTGATGATATTTCGGAACTGAGTCTAGTTCCTTCTGTATCAGTGCATTCTATATGTCTGATTATTTTTTCTCATACTGAGTACATCACCTGAGTACATAACATCAAGTACATAAGTACATAACACCAACACACATAAAAAATAATCATATAGAATATACTGATATAGAAGGAACTAGACTCAGTTCCGAAATATCATCAACTCGAACCGACTTGACCATGTAGCTTATTTTGCAGAGCATTGGACTAGTATCTCAAAGATCGCAGGTTCGATTCCCACCGTGGCCAAGCTAACTTTTCAGCTTGCCCGGAGTGGATTCACACTCAGAGTAACATCACAAACATTCTATCTAGATGTTATAAAATATACAAAATTCACTTACAAGAACAACTTTAATTAAAGGAATGTTCTCCTGATGTATGCTCCTTCTCCTCAAGGACATATGTCAAAGCTGCCATGATACAACGGTTTTGTAACTCTACAAAAAGATCAAACATAGAATAAATTTCTATACAGATTAAAATACACATATATAGTTAAGTTCTAATTCTATAATACACATATAGATTAAGGTTTTATATAGATTAAGTATCTTAATATAGGTTAATGGTTTAATCCATGTACGGATAGTAATTACTAAACAATTCTTTCTTCAAAAACTGTAATCACTGTAATCAATCTGGTATTAGTCTATTAGACATAGTGAAATAATCTTGCGTTAGACAGAGTAGCATAATCATTAAAATAGGGTGCATCAGGGCACGATGCAACTCGATGGGTTAACTAGACACATGGGCGGATAGGACAGTTATACCCATTAACGAGTAAAATAGTCTGGTGTTAGACAAAGTAAAATAATAAAGTTGGGCATAATGCAACTCAATGGGTTAACACAGTCGAATAAGAACACAGTCACATCACTATATTGTAATGGCAGAGAAATATTAACACACACTATTATAAAGTTCTGCACAATGACTTACATTGTGAAGTAACTGAAGCCCATAAATTAAACCAGTTCTTGCTGTACGGTATCTCTCAGCGTCTGTGTACACAATGCCAGGTTTTCCCTTGAACATGCCTTGCTGTGCCAATTTGTAATTTTCTGTGGTGAGTAATGGGCTACAAAATAAAAATTGGGATTATTCTACAGTCCAAGTTAATTTGTAGACTATCCTACT